CCCCAGTGGGTAAGGTTGGTTCAGTGGGTTGTATAGGCTTCCTGGTGTAGGGGACTGGTGCCTGTGTTCTGGTGGATGAGGCTGGATCTTGTCTTTCTGGTGGGCAGGACCATGTCCGGTGGTGTATTTTGGGGTGTCTGTGGCCTTATTATGATTTTAGGCAGCCTCTCTGCTAATGGGTGGGGTTGTGTTCCTGTCTTGCTAGTTGTTTGGCATAGGGTGTCCAGCACTGGAGCTTGCTGGTCGTTGAGTGGAGCTAGGTCTTTGTGTTGAGATGGAGATCTCTGGGAGATCTTTCACCGTTTGATATTATATGGGGCCCAGAGGTCTCTGGTAGACCAATGTCCTGAACTCGGCTCTCCCACCACAGAGGCTCAGGCCTAACACCCAGCCGGAACACCAAAAGCCTATCAGCCACACAGCTCTGAGGAAAAAGGAGGGAAAAAAAGGCAGAAAGAAAGAAAAAATGAAATAAAATTATTAAAATAGAAAATTTTTTTTAAAATTTAAATAAAAAAATTAAAAAGAGAAAGAAAGAAGAGAGCAACCAAACCAAAAAACAAATCCACCAATTAACAAGCACTACAAACTATGCTAAAAACAAACAAAATAAAAACGGACAGTCAGAAACGTAGGACAAATGGCAAAAGCAAAGCTATACAGACAAAATCCCACAAAGAAGCATACACATACACATTCACAGAAGGAGAAAAAGGAAAAAATATATATATAAAAAGGAAGACAGCAACCAAATCAGTAAACAAATCTACTAGTGATAATAAACTCTAATTACTAAACTAAGATAAACATAAAACCAGAAACAAATTAGATGCAAAAAGCAAACCCCAAGTCTACAGTTGCTCCCAAAGTCCACCGCCTCAATTTTGGGATGATTCGTTGTCTATTCAGGTATTCCACAGATGCAGGGTACATCAAGTTGATTGTGGAGATTTAATCCGCTGCTCCTGAGGCTGCTGGGAGAGATTTCCCTTTCTCTTCTTTGTTCGCACAGCTCCCGGGGTTCAGCTTTGGATTTGGACCTGCCCCTGCGTGTAGGTCACCTGAGGGCGTCTGTTCTTCACTCAGACAGGATGGGGTTAAAGGAGCAGCTGATTAGGGGGCTCTGGCTCACTCAGGTCGGGGGGAGGGAGGGGTACGGATGCAGGGCGAGCCTGTGGCGGCAGAGGCCGGCAGGACATTGCACCAGCCTGAGGTGTGCCATGTGTTCTCCCGGGGAAGTTGTCCCTGGATCACGGTACCCTGGCAGTGGCGGGCTGCACAGGCTCCCAGGAGGGGAGGTGTGGAGTGACCTGTGCTTGCACACAGGATTCTTGGTGGTGGCAGCAGCAGCCTTAGCATCTCATGCTTGCCTCTGGGGTACGTGCTGATAGCCGTGGCTCGTGCCCATCTCTGGAGCTCCTTTAAGCAGCACTCTTAATCCCCTCTCCTCGTGAACCCCGAAACAATGGTCTCTTGCCTCTTAGGTAGTTCCAGACTTTTTCCCAGACTCCTTCCCAGCTAGCTGTGGTGCACTAGCCCCCTTCAGGCTGTGTTCACGCCGCCAACCCCAGTCCTCTCCCTGGCATCCAACCAAAGCCCAAGCCTCAGCTCCCAGCCCCTGCCCACCACGGTGGGTGAGCATAAAGGACTCTTGGGCTAGTGAGTGCTGGTCGGCACCCACCCTCTGTGCGGGAATCTCTCCGCTTTGCCCTCCGCACCCCTGTTGCTGCGCTCTCCTCCATGGCTCTGAAACTCCCCCCTCCGTCACCTGCAGTCTCCACCCGCGAAGGGGCTTCTAGTGTGTGGAAACCTTTCCTCCTTCACAGCTCCCTCCCAGAGGTGCAGATCCTGTCCCTATTCTTTTGTCTCTGTTTTTTCTTTTTTCTTTTGCCCTACCTACGTGGTAGGTACCTACGTGGGGAGTTTCTTGCCTTCGGGGACATCTGAGGTCTTCTGCCAGCGTTCAGTAGGTGTTCTGTAGGAATTGTTCCACACATGTAGATGTGTTTCTGATATATGTGTGGGAAGGAAGGTGATTTCCACATCTTACTCCTCTGCCACCTTGAAGGTGTCTAGGCCAACTTTAAAGTGACTATTCTCAAATTTAAGCCCACAATTAAAATATGACTTGGAAATTCAGGGTCCCTCACCATAAAGGAAAAATTGATTTATTTGATCAGCACACTGACTGGATTTGACTGTTTTACAAAAATTTTAAATCTTAATAAGAAATGAAGTTGTCTTTTTAAAAGTCATTCCTTTGAATGTGTACAGAATTGAAATGTTAGATAACATACAAAGATAGTTCAGGAATTATTCTTCTCTGGGTGCTAGTGCTGCACTAAAAGAGCAGCAATGTGCTGCAGATGGTTTTACAACAACATTCTCTCTGTGGCAGGATGGATTTATGGATTTCTGGAACAGTGATATGAAGAGCCTCCTCCCAGAATTGTGAATGTGAAGGAACCCACTGTCACTGGGATGTGGTCCAGAAAGCTGTCTTAATACTTGAAACAATGATAACAAAGTCTCAGCAAATATTTAGTAAACACTAAGTGTATCAACCATGTTGGTCATTATGACCTCCCAGTCTGACCTGACTGATTTTTCTTAAATGCAATCAAACATCACCATCATCTCCTGTCTCCAAAAATGTGCACACACATTCACGGTATGCAAAAGGAACAAGGTCCCAAGCATGTTTATAGTGAGCATGAGCCCTGGAACGTTAATATACAAAGTGCAAGGCCAGCAGGACATTCTTGAACAGACCAAACTGAAAGATTAATTTAATGGGAAACATTCAACGCTTCTAGCTATACACTGATTATCGAATGCAACTGTATGAAGAGTTTTATTATTTATTATCTAAGAACCAAACTATGCATTACATAGTAAGCTAGCCCTCTAAGACTGAGATCACTATAGAAGGATAGTTGATTTAAGTTTGCTGAACTGAAAGATAATAGGGCATTTCATGAAAGAAAAAGTATACTTTTCTAAGAACCATGAATTAGAAGAGTCCATTTCCTTCAATGTAAGTTACATTGTCCAAGAAAAAGCTTAAAACTTGGCAGGATCCATAGTATCACAGACTTATGTCCTTTGGCATAAATATCCATAGTATTTTGGCCACCTCTGAAAGCAAAAGAACTGTGAAGGCGAGATGGAATAGAGAATAAGAAAGAGCCAAGGAGAGGCTCTGCCATTATTTTTTTTAATTTTGGTTGATTGTCTTATTTTATCTTGTTTTGTTTTAAGGTAATTTCACAATAAATAATGGAAGAAAAAGTATATAACTTAGGACAAAACAGATAAAAATAATTTTTAAAATGAAAGTTTGATGATAACTAGATTTCCTCATTTAATAGTAATCTATTCTATAAATTTTTCATATTTCATATGTGAAAAACAAGTATACTTGATCCCTTACTGGCAGGAAGAATTAATTTCTCTGATAATTACACCTAAGTATAACTGGCTTTGTATGATATATTAAAAAATGTAAGTAAACTTCACTCTTCAATGTTAACATGAACAGCTAAAGGGAAATATAGTTTAAAATAAAACTATTTCCTAGTGTCATTTTTTTTTAATTGACAAGATTAACTTGAGCACTAAGAAAATGAAATATAACCTTGAATTATAAGGCAAGTGAGATGCCTCAAGATCTATTTTTGTGAATATTATCTTCTAAAGCATATTTCCAAAATCTTTTCAATGTGATTGATGATATTTTATAGAAGAAAAATAAGTTATATAAATTTATTGAAAATGAAAAAAAATACTCTTATAAAATTTATCTCATTCATATAATCCTTGACTCTGCAAACTGAAGTTATCTGTGAGTAAAATATAACCTTTGTTCTGGAACTATAGCTTTGCTACATTAAACTTTACATCATTACATTTTTCAAAATATTGAACCAACAAAAATCAAAAATCATCTTTTTACGAACTTGGAAACAAGATCAAGTCATCCTAAATTAATGGTGAGAATGTAACTTATTGTTATTATTCCACAAGATAATAGATACCAAGGTATGTGCACAATTCTATTTTAATGAACATAACGGATTCTGAGACACTGACCATTTTTATGGCATACAGCACTGAACATAACGGATTCTGAGACACTGACCATTTTTATGGCATACAGCACTGAACTATGTAAATGACCCAAATCTTTTTCAGGCTATGTCCCTAATGAGTCACATGGGGTAAGTACTTTACCACCTCTATTTATTTTAAATAATTTACATCTGTTTTTCTACAGCAACCCAAATCCAATGTCAGACTTTGGATCATTTTATCACTTACGTGGCTTTGCCTCTTGACTATTACGCCCTCCTTCAACTTCCGTATTTCCATTTGTTCTCCATGAATTCACTTAGTCCTCCAACCTCTTGCCTCCCTCCATTTTATATCAAGCTGTAAATCTGCTATTGGATTCACTAGTTTCTCTACTCTGCCAGCACTGATAGCCTATGTATTATTTCATCCAAACACACACTAGAATCTGCTATGTCCTTGGTCTTTCTCTGCATCTCTCTGGAAAATTCCCAATACTGCAGCCAAAGTGGTTTAAAATAGAGAATTTGGGGGATTATTTAGACCAGGATTATACCTCCCCTATGATTTAGTCAAGTACTGCCATTATCCCCAGTTGATTCCCTCATATAATGGTGACTATAATTTACTGATCACAAGAGATGTTGCAGAGATTAATCGTAATGAGTTTGTATATACCTTCTACAGTGTCTGACATATGGCAGCTGCTCCATAAATGTTAGCACTTTTCTACTCCCTTTTTAATTCGTAGGATGCTGAACACAAGAGAAACAAAGAGACATGCTATGGCTAACACTGCTGCCACAAATGTGTTGCTTTCAGTCAGAGCAGCATTCTTGACATTGTTTAAAACAGGATATTTGATTACTTACCTTCTCTTATTACACGCAGATATTATACCAAAGCTCTTCCTCCTACAGTCTCTTACCCTGTGTCAGCATTCTGTAGCCTCGGCAGGTGATGTCAATCTCTATATCGTTAAGATTATTCAGACAACCTTCAAAGCGCCAAGGTCTCCCCTTTCCCACCCCCGCAGCCTCAGATTAACCGTATAGCCTTCTACTGCAGGTGTTTTCTGAAGCTGTAGGAAAGTACCAATGTTAAGGAATCTTGTGTTTATTCAGAAATACATAGTTTTTTCTAATGATTGTCATGGTTCCTTTCTTAAAAGAAATCAGAACAGTTGAGTGCATATGGTATGAGGAATTAGGAATCACATCTGAAGTTTAGATGTTTGGATAGTTTTACAGTATTTACATAATCCATGGTGGGTATGAATACAGATCAGCAGTAAAGTCTTACACTTACATTCACAAGCTTTATTTCTAAATACTGAAAATGTTTGGTCCTTAAAATGCCATTTTCAAAGGTATAAGTACTTTGAAACTGTAGGTACAATTTTGATTATAGTAAAAATCAAAAGTTATAGCTTTTTGTTCTTTTGAGTTCATGCATGATTGCATACCAACTGGAAACATTATGCAGAACTGGTACTGAAAATATAGCCTGGGGCCTGCTTATGGTCTTTTGACATGCTACCTTCTGTTATTCTGCTTAATTCATGACTCTAAAAGGCCAACAGCCCTCTAAATGAACTTCTGAGGAATTAGTGATCATAATGAAAATTGCAGCCCTTATTCTCTACTGTGTGGGTTGGTATAAGCATGTGTGACCACATGTAACAGGGTTAGAAGGAAAAATAATGCTTTGCCCTCTGGAATTTGACCCTATTTGAACTTTACTCATGTTTCAGGTGTCTACGGACTTCTTTACCATTGAAATAGGACAGAATTATAAATAATGGCTTCAAATGGAAAAACAGAAAAGTTAGCTTTGCTTGGGTCAGCGTTTTGAACCAGCACCTGTTTTCTTCTTTGATTACTGAGCAGCTCAGTATATAACAAGTTCAGAAGCAGAAGCTATGTCATAATAATACATGATGTGAGTATAAGCAATTAACCAGCACATACTATGTATGTCTCGTACCACAGTTTCATGCTTGACTAGTTATGCCTTCCTCTCCAGTATCATCTAATCACAAGGAGACCAAAGACTACAATGATTAAATAAGTAAATTTTTAATGGCAATGTTAGAAACTAAGTCAAATATCTATTTAGAATGGAGACCATTTCTCTTCCCTCCTTTAGCTGCCTCACCACCTAGCCCATTATTCCACCACAGTGGGCTTCTGTTGTCCAACTAATATAACTTATCACACTCTTCATTTGGTTTTGACTTTGTAAACTTTTGCAGAGTGAGTGAAAACCTTTATTTGGGTTTTCCTACTTGAAATTATCAAATAGCCGATTAAAATACTGAAAGTCAAATGTTTTCTATGAATATTCATCAGAATGTTAGAACACACTTGAAAATTTGGACTAATTTTATGGTGTGCAAGATTTTCCTTCCAGCTTAGCTCGATCTTAAAAAAAAAGTAATACCTACCACAAAACAATTTGAGATTCATCAAAATTAATATGAATTGGTCTGAACTCATTAAAGTGAACATTTTACTATAAGTAAATCATACCTCAGTATTAAATAAATTAATAAATCTCAAGCCTTCTTTATTTGAGGCCAATCTTTAGACCCAAGCCACTCAGGAATCCTACCCAATGCTACCTCCATGTACTGGTCACAGTATCTGCTAATGGTGGAAGTCCGTTGTTAGCTATGCAGCTGTGTTCCGCTCAAGATAGACCCCTCCTTCCTCTTCTGTGCTATAGTACTACCCCAGTTCAAGGCAGCCTGTGTCTGGAGTCAGGTTGGGTATGGTTAAAGGAATGGGAAGGTCTTTTATTGGCTGTGGTTTTCATGGATTCTTTCCTCTTTCTTCAACTCTCTGCAGACTCCAATGTGAGAATTCCATGCACCTTTAAATCTTGGACTGAACCACCAACACTCTATAAATCAGCTGGCTTCCATAGTCTGCTTATTGTCTTCTTTCTTTCCTACTTAAAATTTTTCATTTTTTATGGGGAAAAAAGAGTATATCTTTTCTAGCTTCATACTAGATTTCTATATTTATCTCTATCTTATTGGGCAGGGGAGACAGGAGAGTATTTAATGGTCAGAAACACAAATTAAAGATAATTTAATCCAATTTTTCAAATGAGGAAACTGACTCAAGTACTTGGAATGCATATACTGAACCAGAGCAGCATTTTTGGAGAAAAATACTAGTTGACCTTGATGTTACAAATATATGTTTATATTTTTAAAGTGCACACACACAAACACACATGCACATAAAATTTTATTTAGAGAACACTTACAGGGTACTTGCCATATGTCAAGTACTGTTTTACATGCTGTATAAATAGTAACTCATTCACTCCTCATAGTAAACTAGAAGGCAGACACTATTATCTCTGTTTATAGACAGAGATGTAAAGAGGTTTGCCTATGATCACAAAGCTAGTAAGTAGTAAGTGACTTGAACCACTATGTTATACTGCATCTCATGATTTGGAAAAATCATGCTTACAACATAGGCAGAATAAATATTATCATTTCTACTGGGCAAATGTAGAAACTCAGGCAGGAAGCATTTAAATGTTCTGCTCAAAGATAGCTGGCTAGGAACAGAGCTAATCCTGGAACACAGAATGAAAAACCAGTTCTCCTGATTACTATCCAAAATTTCTTTTCATTATACCACATTGTCAAAGCTTCTCCACTTATGGTAATTATACCAGGCAAGTATGTTTGTTCAATTCTAGATACAATTTATCAACGTTAAATTTTAGCACTTTCATGAATTTTTATGAAAACACAGGATAGAAAATAAAAAATTTAAATTGCTACATAAATGATATGAACAGTATGCATAAAGAAACAAGCCTCAAACACAGTATTTCAGATCGATAGTTTTTACCATTTCAATTGAACAAATGTTTATTGAGTGCCTAATGTATCCAAGGATTTAAACTATGGGCTCAGTGTTGAAGGGTAAGCTGTGACAAAGCAAGAGAGTGTCATGGACATATATACACTACCAAACGTAAAATAGATAGCTAGTGGGAAGCAGCCGCATAGCACGGGGAGATCAGCTTGGTGCTTTGTGACCACCTAGAGGGGTGGGATAGGGAGGGGGGGAGGGAGGGAGACGCAAGAGGGAGGAGATACGGGAACATATGTATATGTGTGACTGATTCACTTTGTTGTGGAGCAGAAGCTAACGCACCATTGTAAAGCAATTATACTCCAATAAAGATGTAAAAGAAAAAAAAAGACTAAAAGGTAAGATATAATCCCTGACTTTTAAGTTCCCTGATCAGCCAGACAAGCCTACTTTTCAAAAATTAATTTTCTTCTCAAGGTATGGTTTCACACAGGGCTTGAATTTTTTTTTACCTTTCCTAGCAGTAAAATGTAAATGAAATTGAAATCGCAGTAGGAAGATATCTTGTTGAATCATGGCAATGTGTGATCTAAAGTAAATCGTATAACCTCTTTCACTTCCAAACCATCCATTGGTAAAATAAGACGGATGATGCCTACCTCGAGAGTTATAAAAATAACATATAAAAGCCCTGTGTAAACCATAATATGCTGTAAAAAAATGTATTAGCTCACATAAGTTACGTTGATACTTGCATTTAAATCATAGAGACCTATTTGTAGTCAATTACACCATGCTGTTACCTGGGGCAAATACAAAAGGATACTCATTACTGTACATCTATCAAGAGCCAGGTGCTGTATCAGTGACTATAAGTACATAATCCCAATTACTCCTTATCATACTCTTACAAGGTAGTCATAGAATAACATGAGAAATCCAAGCGTCGAAGTGACAAGGCAATATCCCTGAAGTAACAACACTAGAAGGTAGCAGAATCATTTCAGTCATTAGGTCTTTCTAACTTAAAAGGCTTTGTTCTTTCCATAACACCATGCTATCTCATTAATTTGTGTTGCTAAGTTTCTTAAAGTTCATAACTTTTAAAAAAATTAATTATGGTAAAATAAACATAACATAAAAATTACGAAACTTAACATCTTACCATTTGTAAGCCTATAGCTATATTAGGTACATTCACACTGTTGTGCAACCCTTATCAACATCCCATTTCTAGAACTTTTTCATTATCCTGAACAGAAACTGTACTCGTGACTCTCCCCATTCCCCCTCCCACCAGCCCCTGGAAACCATTCTACTTTCTGTTTCTATAAATTTGACTACTCTAAGTACATCATATAAAGGGAATCATACAATATTTGTTTCTTTGTGATTGTTTTATTTCACTTAGTATAATGTCCTTAAGGTTCATCTCTGTTGTAGCATGTGTCAGAATTTCCTTCCTCTTTAAGGATGAATGATATTACACTGTATGTATATACCACATTTTGTTCATTCATTCATCAGTCCATGGATACTTGGGTTTCTTTCCCCGTTTGGTAACTGTGAATAATGCTGCTGCGAACAAGCATCTCTTTGAATCCCTGCTTTCAGTTCTTTTGGGTATATACTCAGAAGTGAAATTGCTGGATCATATGGTAATTCTATTTTTAGTATTTTGAAAAAAACACCATACTGTTTTCTACTGCAGCTAAACTTTACATACCCACCAACAGTACATGAGGGTTCCAGTTTCGCTACAACCTCGTTAACACTTGATATTATCTTTTTTTTTATAGTGGCCACCCTAATGGATATGATGTCACGTCTCATAGTTTTTATTACATTTCCCTAGTGAATAGTAATGGTAAACTTCTTTTGTTTATTGGACATTTGTATATCTTCTTTGGAAAAATGTCTATTCAAGTCCTTTGCCTATTTTTTAATCATGTTGTTTGATTTTTTGTTATTGAGTTGTAGGAGTTCTTTATTCTGGATATTAACCCTTTATCAGATATATGACTTGCAAGTATTTTCTCCCATTTTGTGGGTTGCCTTTTCACTCTGTTGATTGTGACTTTCGATGCACAGAAGTTTTAAATTTTGTTGTAATCATTTATGTATTTTTCCTTGCTATCTTGTGCTTTTAGAGTCATATCCAAGAAATTACTGCCAAATCCAATGCCACAACACTTTATGTTTTCATCTAAGAGTTTTATAGTTTTAACTCTTATGCTTAGGTCTTTGATCTGTTTTGAATTACTTTTTGTATACTTTGTAAAGTAAGGGTCCAACTTAATTTTTTTGCACGTGATTATCCAGTTTTCCCAAAACCATTTGTTGAAAAGACTGTCCTTTCCCCATTGAAAAGTCTTGGCACCCTTGTTGAAAACCATTGACTATATATGTGAAGATTTACTTCTGGACTCTTTATTATATTCCATTGGTCTATGTCTGCCATTGTGCCTGTACCATACTGTTTTGATTACAGTAGCTTTGCAGTTAGTTTTGAAATGTGAGACTTCCAGCTTTGTTTTTGTTTTTCAAGATTGTTTTGGTTATTTGGAGTATTTTGAATTTCCATATGAATTTTAGGATGAATTTTTATATTTCCATTTTGTCCATTTCATTTAGGTTATCCAATTTGTTGACATACAATTGTTCACAGTACTCTCTAATAATCCTTTTTATTTCTGTCAAATTATTAGTAATTCTTCTCTTTCATTTCTGATTTTAGTTATTTGAGCTTTCTCTTTTTTATTTTTTAGTCAATCTAACTTAGAAAATTGACAAAAGTTTGTCAATTTTGTTGATCTTTCTAAGAACCAACTCTTGGTTTCAAGGGTTCATTAATAAATACATTAACTTTAGTATTTTATGCTCTTATTTAAATCTATTAGCTTAAAAATACATCCATATAATAAAATTAAAATAAAAATATAGATTGTTAGAATAGACCTAATCACATCTTTAGTGAGTGACACACACAGGAACAAACACACATTTTCTCAGTTTGTACTCTGGAGCAGTTACTCTCCAGGATTTTACTGACAACATTTTGCAGGATAAAATGAGCAGTTATAGATTAAGAATTATATGGCCAAGTCTGTAAAATACCTTTTGAAAATCAGGCAAGCCTCCATCTATTTGTACATGTGCCAGATCTGTCATTTACATGGGTATTTGTCAAAGGATTTCCAGACTGTTAGCATAGTTGGCATTAGTTTAATTAACACTGAAGCTTGTAAATCAAAGTGAAGACTTGCATGTATCCTGTGAGACTTATGTTTTTCACTGCTAAGAATAATTGTACTTTCTGGAGAGAACTGAAAATAGGAAACCAAGAGTACAAATTTGAGTAATTTTAAAATAGTTGTTATGTCTAGTAATGATCTTCTTTTAAAAAATACACAAAATATTTTATTATCTTCAATCAGGTGACACAAGTTTTATAGAATTGGGAATACTGATATTTTTTTTTATTTCCAATCCTCCATGTTTGGCTTATACTCATACTACCCAGCATCTCTACTTAAAAGCAGAACTTAATCTTCTCTCATAAAACTATATAATCATTTAATTATGAGAGAGACTAGTGGTTCTTTTGTTTGCTTTGGGGAGAGCTACACATTTTAATATTGACTCATTTAAAATGCTCTTCAGTAACAAAAAAAATTGTAGCCTCTTTATTTTTAACCAGTGTTAAGTCACTCTAAGATCAGTTTTGTACCTTACCTGTTAGGCAAATATTCTTCCTTCCTGTTATTTAATAACATTTTTCTCTGGTTGAGATTGACATAATATATCAGAGTATGCAGGTCTCATGTCACTGTGCTCCTTTGTACTGACAGAGGGGGCACCAGTGCCCATGATCTAGGGGGGCTCCATGAGCCCCAGAGCATGAAGTTGAACACACTGCTGAGCGTGTGAGGGAAATGTGTCAGTGCAAGTATCTCCCTCCTCTTTGATCTGCTCTTTCTTGGGGTTCAGTGATGCAGTCGATGTTACCACCATTCTCCCATTCACCAAACTCAAGCATCACTTCTCCTCTCAGGAGGAGTCAAGTCAGTGGCTGTGATTTATCTAATACTGACTCCCTCCTTGGTATTCACATTGCCATTGTCCTCACCAGGCCTTGCTCGGCCTGTTACAGTAACTACTTAACAAGCCTCCTTGCTTAGGCTCATGTCTCTGATCGATCCTTCACACTCCTTAGTGTTAGCCCTACCTGACCCTCAACTGTTTGCCTTTATTGGTCTGTCTTGTTTCTGCTTTTCAGGGAGGTGCAGTACGTGTACATTTTCAAATTAATTGCCAACAGTTAAAAATCAAGAGTTTTACATGAAATTCTCAAGTTTTAACTTCACAAAATACAGAAGACCTGGCCTCTCAGAGTAGACAGCCCTTCCCAGGGTGCAGATCTGAGAGATGGCAATAAAAGTTTCAGCTTTATTTTTGAAAATCCAAGCTTGCCTTGAAAATAGGATCAGGCATCCTACCCTTTTCCAACCTGAATTAAACTGACCCTAAATGTAAGGCCTCACCTCACTCTCCTATACAACCTGTCAAGGACAAAAGAAGCCTGAGTAGCTACTGCATAAGAGGAGGCAGGAGAAGAGAGAAGATTTCCTGGATATCAGGCAGGCTGGGCCAAAAAAAAGGAAGTGGTGAAGATAAGATGTTCTTTTCTCTATCTAATCAATAATTTAAGTCATTCTTACTCCATGAGGTGGGATAAAAGGGAAATAAGATAATAATGGCCAGAAGAATTACTTTACTGGACATCTCCTCATGGAGCCATGGATTCACAAACTAAGCCCTTCTAATAATCACCTTCCCCAAAGGCCTTTCTTAACCATTTGTCTAAAGTTGCCTGTAACCCCGCCCCTGTCACTCTCATGTAATCACTATAATTATTGTGCTTATTTTATGGATTTATTATCTCCTTCCACAGAATATAAAAAAAGACCATACCTATCTTCTTAAAAAAAAAACAATACTCATTAAAAAAACGGTGGGGGCTTCCCTGGTGGTGCAGCAGTTGGGAGTCTGCCTGCTGATGCAGGGGACACGGGTTTGTGCCCTGGTCCAGGAAGATCCCACATGACGCGGAGCAGCTGGGCCCGTGAGCCATGGCCGCTGAGCCTGCACATCCGGAGCCTGTGCTCCGCAACGGAAGAGGCCGCAACAGTGAGAGGCCCATGTACCGCAAAAAAACAAAAAACAAAAAACGGTGGTGAAATGGAAGAATTAGATAATCTGGCAGTGGAGGGAGGGAATGAATGGTCTGTCTTCCTAAATACAGACACACACTGTTAGGAATTTGTCATATTAATAATTCTTAAGTGGAACACAGGGTACCAGATAGTGAGTCACTGCTCAAAAACAGAACACAAGGGAAACTGAAATAGATGTATTACTCACGGGTCATGGAGGAGGTACCTGCCATGCCTTGAGGGGCCACACGGGGAGGTAAAGGCAGAGTGAAGACAAAGAGAGAGGCAGAACCTCAGCATATGCCTTTATTAGGGTCTGTGGGTGGCGTGTTTTAGGGTTTCCGGGCTAAAGCCAGATGGGTCAATTCAAACCAAAAAGAGGGAGAGGTGATTAACCAGGCTCTGGGAGGTGGGGAGACTGTTTCCCAAGAGCAGTTGGGGAAGTCATAGCAGCAACTTACACGTGCTTGCGAATCGGAGGGCTGCTGTCTAAGGCATGTGCTTGAGGGGCTAGTATCAGTGTAAGGCCACTTCATGCTGCCTGGCCAAAAAAAGGAAAAAAAAAACAATTGTACCCTTAGGCAGTAATACCATGGAGTGGCTTAGCTAAATCTTCAACACTCACATACACACAAAACCTATAGTTGCTTTGCACTGCCTGTGGTATATAACATTGGAAGTTCTAGTCTTATTTCCAAGGTCTTGTAGGTTTGTGTGATCTGGCCCAAATCTACCTAAGTTCCTTTCCAAATCCTTCTGTCTAGACATTTGTGCTCCAGAGACAAGGAACTTTTGTTCCCTGAACTTATTTCTTGAAAATGTGAAGACAGCTTACAGCTTTCCTTTGCTCGTGCTCTTCCTTGCTCTTTCTTTACTCCTCTTCTTCCACATCACCTTGCAAGATCCACTTCATGTTCTCCCTGAAGTTTCCACCATTTCCCTTGGTCAGAATTAACCCCCCTCCTCTGATCTCCCTGGAGCGTGTCTCTGTCAGTATCATAGCTCGCATTTTAATCTTTCTCTCTTACACTTCCTGCCTTACATTGCTCTCTCCTCAGCTTCATTGGATACTCATTGCAGACAGAGAGATTTCTATATCCATCTTCTTTGTTAGTTTCAGTGTCTATCATGGTGCCTTCCATATGATGGGAGCGAGATAAACATTGGCTGCATGAAGGAATCACCGTCACTCACTGGATGCCCCTCGTGGCGAGCCTCACTGAGGTCTGATGCAGCCTCCTGAACATGCTAAGGCTTTACCTTCTTCCCCAAGACTCTTCCTTCTGCTGTTCAAGTATTCAAGATAAATGAGGTCAGCTGTAGACAATAACGTCAGGTGACTCCTATTATTTGCTCTTCTTTTGTACCTACTTTTGCCTACTAAGTGGGAGTAGGAAATAGGGGTGCAGGGAGCTCAGGTCCTGATGTTAACAGTTTGCTTTTCCACCTCAGCCTTCACAGACTACAGGTCCCAGCGCCCAAAGTCTCCTCCTTTTACCTGCTAACTATTAACTGAGGATGCACAGCACAATCTTCAGAGGGTGGCGTACAGACAGCTCCAATTTTTCAGAGCTCCACTTCAACAGCAAGCCTCTATCTGAACGTCCAGACTCCCTCCTGATATCTGTCCTATTGTCTGTCCTCCCTCCACCAAGAATAAAGCCATCTACCTTGTGATGCAGTGGCTCCTGGTCCTTTGGCATGGGAGAGGAGAGCAGGGAGCTTCCAGTGTGTGCCTCTCAGTCCCCAGGTGCTGGGGGAGCTCTGGTGAATGAGATCAGAGTGGAGTCTTGGGGCAAGTTGGGAGATGAGGGACCTGCAGCTCTGAAATTTTACTTCTGGAAAACTGAAAACAAGATGTGTGTGCTTATATATACTACATAAATTAATGTGTGCATGTGCATGTGTGTGTATACATACACATATATATGTCTACATGTGTGTATATGTATTTTAAATAAAAGAAAAATAGAGAAAGTAACTAAATTGTACTTAGTATCACCAACTGGTTCTGAGACTGTGTCTAGACCAATGATTATAAACAGAACAGATCTAAAATGCATCTATTAATGCAACAAACATGTATAGGAAATCTGCCCTCATGCAACTCAGAGGCTTCAAGGTAGGCAAGCCATATACTAAATAAATATAATTTGTGTTACAAAGAAATAAGGACTGCCATGAGAATATACACAAGGACCTGACTTGTCTGCCCTGGGAGGGGACACCTCCCCCCCAAAAAGGCGATGTTTAAGGTGAAACTTAAGGAATAAGTAGCTGCTAGCTTCATGAAGGGGACTGTCAGAGGAGAGAATTACAGTGTATTCAGAATCCCTGAGACAAGGGACAGTGTGAGCAACCAACAGAATTTCCTTACGGCTGATGCAGAAAATAAAGAGTGATAAGACCAAAGCAGTGGACAGGACCTGAATGTGGCGGCTGATATGGCTTTGGTCTGTGTCCTCAGAGAGATGGGAGGCCATAGAGGGTGCTTAGCAGGAGAATGCCAAGAGCAGATCTGCATTTTTAAAGCTCCATCACTACAGCAAGGCAAGAGGACAAATCTGAAAATCAGGGTTTGGATGTTGAACAGCAAGGTAATGGCAGCATCTTGGTGAACTGTAGTGCCATTCAAGCCTATTTACTCTATAATGTTGTAACAGTTATGTGTGGCCTTACATATATATCAGGTTAACAGTATGTTTATTTGACTTCAATACTAGACTTATTAAATGAGTGCTCAGCCTGCATACATAATACAATACGGTATTAACAGAACTAGATATAGATTATATTTTCCCCAATTTATCCCTTGTTTCCTCTCAAGATTATGATCCTGCTTCCTTTATCTGATTTATTCACTCCATACAAACACATGAGAAATCCCTATTTACTTTATTACTAATTATCTGTAAGCTTAAGGGTCTTGTCCCAAAAGCTTTTCTGCTCAGTTTAATGCTATGAAGGCATTAACTGATTATGGGAGAAAAAAAAAACCATATTCTTTTCTGTACAAGAGAAAGAAGATGGTGGCCCCAATTCAATCTCATGATATAGCAATTAAGAAAGAGAATAAAGACCTTTCTGCTCAGTAAATTTCCAATTTCTTCTCAATAGCTTACTACCAATAGCTAAGTGTCTCCTTTCTATAGTCAAAGTTAATTTTGACCAAGTTTTCCTCTTCGGCATAAGAGACTTTAAACCCAAAATAATTTAGTAGAAAATTCACTAATTTTCCCTTTTATGACAGAGGATATTGAAGATCAATTTATAGAAAGGAACACTATAAACATTATGTAACAGATATCAGAGATTGAGCTATGTGATTTTTTTAAAGAAATCACTCATGCCTTATTTCTACATATAAATGTAAATCCAACCTCGTCTCAGACTTTGTAGATTGAATTTTAAGGATTATAAGTTTTATAGTAAATAGAAATTTTAGAATAGGAATCGGAACCTTGAAATTAGAAATAAATACTCACCAGTCTGATACCATCTGATATTTGAATCTTCTCAACAATATAACAATGAATTAATGGTTTATCCTGTGTTTAGAAATTTGAAGTGGTATGAAGGGTCCCTGTAATTTCAGAGAAAGGCTCCTGGAGGTGACTACTATCTCCTCGGCTACCCTTGGGGTCCAGCTGAACAAGCCCACTTTCTCTATCCTGAACAGTCTGGTAACAACATTCCCTGTTTTCCACCTGGTCCACATTTGACATGGTCCCTGTTATTTGTTTCATCCTGGCTGTGCTTCTTTGAATGAAAACTTCATCTTTTCCCTTCAGCTTCCTTGATCTTACCAGCCTTGACTTTTAATGCTTACTGTACAAGCAATTAACAGGACGTGAAAGGTCAGTGGAGAAAAGATATTAAGGAGTACTCTCTAAATACCAGCACCCCATGAAGCCACGTTTGGAATGTGCAGGGTCCGTCCCTGTAGACACTCTGACCCCAATAAATTATTAGGTGGTTTACAAGAGTCCAAACAGCATTAATCAAACTGACAGGGGGAAAAAAAATTCTCTCTTTGTATATAGCATTTATAAACAGTTATTTCAGTATAAGAAGTTTTGCTTTTGAAAATTCAAAAGCATGAAAGCACAGATTAATTTCTCTGCTTAGTCATGAAATACAGTGGTCTCCGAGGGGACACTTCTTACAGAAGTTTTCCCAAAGTCCCAATTCCCTGTTCTCCTCTTTTCACCCTTACTCCTAAACCAATTAAAAAGACTGGTGAAGAGCTCTGGACAAATGATCTCTCAGATTAAGGCATAGGTTTCCAGGAAGTAGATAAATGGTTGAATAACACTGTTACAAGAAGATAGAATATATAGTAGATGCTTAAACTGTGAACCTCAAGGGACATTTGATGTGTCCTTTAGGGCTTAAAATTATTAGTATCAATTAAAATTACCATATACCATACCATATACCTATACCATAGTACCTTTAGCCTTGGGTTGTTTCAAATTATACCTAATATTTTCCAAACTTGAAAAAGAGGACACATTGTGTAGACACTTCTTTCCCTTTTTAGCATCATATAATGATTTAATGAGACTCACTGGGTTACAAATGAGATAGAATAGGTTCCTTGTATTCCCTTTTTCTCTTTGATAGAATGATCTCATGAGAATTTTGCTACCACTTTTATTTTCTTTGAGAAAATATAGTGCCTTCCACTGATCAGAATAGTTAATTTCAACTTTACTTTCTTTTTACTACTTTTCAATTTACCTTTTTTAAATGACTTTTGGGACATCTTCCAATATCCCTGTAAACTAATCTAATCCAGTATGAATCCAGTACCCTCAGTTCACTCATTAACTGTGATAAGTTTAATAGAAACAGTGCCTAATCTCAAAAATTGTTTAGCATTTTACTATTCAGTATATTCTACTACTCATGAGGATCCCAAGAAATACGATTTTAAAAGTCATTATCAGATGAAAACTGCTCATCAATCTGATCATTCTTAAGAAGAAACAGAGGATTGATTTTTTTTTTTCCTCATATGAAAGCAGTGACTTCAGGCTCATTAGTAACAAAATGATTTATTTTTCATTGCTGAGCAAGGGAAATTGCTTTTTCTAAAATAATAACACTCCGTTATTTTCTAAAAAATAGATAATTATAGTAGCATATAAGGCATTAAGAATTTCCACGGCCACCCTAATTCTGCCTCTCCATTCTCCAAATCTGCTATTTCCCTGAAAGTTTTAAGATCAGTAAGCTTGAATTGACTTTCCTGATAGTTGTTTTTCCATCTTTTCCATAATTTCCTAAGGTTCCTGTATATACGCCTAAATGCCAATAATTGTCTTAAATCAACTGAATGAAAATAAATTAGATGGCTAAAATTCATTTTCATCTCATAAGTGTTACACCTTGTCAATTAAAACAAATACTCCTTTTCTGTGCCAAGAAAACATTTTCTGTTACATTCACAATCTGCTTCAACTGCCATCGGGTACAAGAAAAACCTCTAACAGATGAGAATCAGTAAATGGCAATTGCAAGGAGAACTGACTATCTGAATAACAAATGGAAGGCATATTCTGTGAATTATCTTGCATCAGGCAAATACCATGATGAGGGCTTTTAAAGATGTTGTACTACTAATTCTGAGAATAAGACTGGGACCTGGACATCAAAATAAAATAGAATATATGTGTGTATATATATATATATATATTTTTTTTTTTATACAGATCTTTACCCTTTATCTCACATGTCACACACTTTTAATGAGGTACAGACAGAAATATTATTGCAGGGTAAATATGGTGATTACTATCTCTCTATCAGAACACAAACAGCTGTATGATATGGTGCCTAGAGAAAGACTTAGATCACGCCAGTGGAGATAAGTTGGCATCTCCCTGATGCCTGAAAAGACACAATCAAGTGAAGTCTTTGACCTCTTCCAAAGCAAAACAAGTAAACCATTCTTCTCTGCTTTCCACCCTCGCCCATACCTGCTTTGTGTGTTGCTCCTTTGAAATTTTTCTTCCAAGTGTGCCCAGCACTTACACAAAAATACAAGAGAAATGCATGCCATCAAGAAAGGTCTTAAATGTGTGCTAGGATGGTCAGAGAAGAAGGAAAAACACAGGTGGATATCTTCTGTGGCCTTTGGTTTTCCCTATTCACGTGCTTATGTAATTAAGGCCTGAAACTTTTAGAAACAAAGCAAGCTAGTTATGCCTGCATGAACTGATAACAACCTGAATTCTTTCCTATCCTGTCAATTAGATAGGATCTGGGAGAAGGGATGGGGCAGGAGAAAGCAGGCTTAGAGGAAAGAAGTATGTGAGGGCAGGTAAGGAAGACTCTCAGGGCTTCTGCAGTGTCCCTTTGTTTCCCATGCCACCCCACCCCCTTCCACCTTCCCTTCACATTGCATCCTACAAGGTGCTGGAACAATGGAGCAGCTCAAAATGTGTTATCAAGTTTACTTGTCTCTCGGAACCTACTGTTTCTTTTCAGAAAGACTACTTCTGACCCGATGGAGATGGGGGTGGGGGGAATGCCTTCAAGATGGAGGAGGAGTAAGACGTGGAGATCACCTTCCTCCCCACAAATACATAAAAACTACATCTACATGTGGAACAACTTCTACAGAACACCTACTGAACGCTGGCAGAAGACCTCAGACCTCCCAAAAGACTCCCTCAGGTGACCTACACGCAGAGGTGGGGCCAAATCCAAAGCTGAACCCTGGGAGCTGTTCGAACAAAGAAGAGAAAGGGAAATCTCTCCCAGCAGCCTCAGGCACAGTGGATTAAATCTCCACCATCAACTTGATGTACCTGCATCTGTGGAATACCTGAATAGACAACGAATCATCCCAAAATTGAGGCTGTGGAATCTGGATGCAAATGTAGACTTGGGGTTTCCCTTCTGCATCTAATTTGTTTCTAGTTTTATGTTTATCTTAGTTTAGTATTTAGAGATTGTTATCACTGGTAGATTTATTAATTTGGTTGCTCTCTTCCTTTTTTTATTTTATATATATATATATTTCCTTTTTCTCTTTTTGATATTTCCTTTTTCTCTTTTTGAGAGTGTGTATGTGTATGATTCTTTGTGTGACTTTGTATAGCTTTGCTTTTGCCATTTCTCCTAGGGTCTGACTGTCCATTGCTTTTTGTTTTTTTTTTTATAATATAGTTTTTAGTGCTTGTTATTGGTGGATTTGTTTTTTGATTTGGCTGCTCTCTTTCTCTCTTTTTTATTATTTTTTAATTTTTAATAATTTTTTTTATTTTTTATTTTAATAACTTTCTTTTATTTTTTTTCTTTCGTTCTGTCCTTTTTTTCCCCTGCCTTTTCTTCTGAGCAGTGTGGCTGACATGGTCCTGGTGTTCTGGCCGGGTGTCAGGCCTGAGCCTCTGAGGTGGGAGAGCCGAGTTCAGGACACTCATCTACCAGACCTCAGGGCCCCATGTAATATCAAATGG